TTATCTTCCAAAATTATATTTGAATTACTTGAAATTATCGCAGAAACGTCATCAGCATATGCTGTAAAATGGGTATCTGGATGAACATTATCAAACCGATTAATGTATAAGAGGAAAAAGATTGGTCCAAGAATAGAGCCCTGAGAGACTCCAATCAAAATGTCTAACGTACTTGACACAAAGTTTTTCATATTGTTTCCTGGATCAAGATATTCTAGTGAAACATATTGTTTTCTTTGGACTAAAAACGATCTGGCCCATTTAAGAGACTGACCGACAAAACCATATTTAACAACAATCTCCAAGAATTTGTTGTGATCAACGCAGTCGCATGCCCTACTGAGATCACAAAATACCCCAGTAGGGCACTCTCCGCGTCGATGTATTCTATAAGTTTCTCATAAAAGGAATGTATGGCTGACATTGTGGTCTTACCATCTGTGAAACCATGCTGGTTTTGAGACAAAATATTGTTGTTCTTAAGATGTAGAAGAAGTCTATTCAAATAGGCATATTCAAACATTTTAGAAAGTACAGACGGCACAGTGATTGCCCTGTACTTTGTAATATCAAGCTCGTTCCCCTTTTTTAGAATTGGTATAACTTTGCCTAGTTTCAGCCTACTTGGGAACTCTCCGCAGCAAAATGAGATATTTATAAGGTGTGTTATTGGTTTTATTATAAGATGTAGTACTTCTTTTACCAGAAAATTGGGAATGTCATCAAAACCGCAAGGTTTGGAATTTTTTAATTTTTTCAAAAGTAAGTTACTGAGCTCATTATCTGTATAAGGGTAAAGTTTGAAATAATTTTTGACATTAAATTTGAAATCAGCTGCACTATGTGAGGTATTAATTTTTTGTATTATATCATCTGGAGCATTTTTAAAAAAATCATTGAACATATTTGCCAACAGCTGAGGGTCTTACACTTTTTCATTTTTATCTTTATGTAGAACTTTATTTTTTCGAACTTTGTTCTCATTTTTAGTTGCATTGACCACTTGCCAGCACGCTTTGGTGGTATTTTTAGAGAGTACAATTTTGTTTTTGTAGAATGTTCTTTTTGTGTCTCTGATCAATTTTGTATGTGCCTTTTTAGCATCATTATACAGTGACTTTAGTTTTGGATTTATTTGTGAAGTATGATATAAATCTTTCAAATTATTGCTTGAATTTCTTACGTTATGTGTAACCCAACTTTTTGAGCCGTTTCCCTTACAGGCTTTATGTAAAGGAAAATGCGTATTAAAATAGTACAAAAAGATATTAAAAAAATTTCCACACGACTCAGAAACTGTAAAGCTAGAGTAAACGGACAGCCAAGATTCGTTTAATAAAGATTCTTTACAGTCGCTAATTGCGTTTTGATGAAAACTTCTTTTGTTCAGGTAAATTTTGTCCGATTTCTTGGAGCAAAGATCGAAGTCCCCCAGGGTCGTTTTGTGATCTGAAACTGTATTATCATAGACACAGGAAACCAACTGAGTAATATTGGTAAAAACGTGGTCAATGCTCGTGGCCGAAGTATCTGTCACTCGGGTTGGCCAACCACCTTTATGATACAAACCAAACATAGAGAAAATATTACACAATTTCATAAAATTAATACATTTTGACTCATAACAATTAAAATTAAAATCGCCACATACAAGCAATACATAATTAGGATCGAAAACAGTATTTAAAAGTTCTTCAATTTTTTCTAAAAATACGCCTACGTCACCATTAGGTGAACGGTAGCAATTTATTATCTTCATTTTTTTGTCCGAAATGGTACAAGATATTGAACAAACTTCAATGTCCAATTCAAAACAATATTTATTCAGATCTATTGGCTTGTATTGTAAATCTTTACGAATGTATACAGCAACACCACCTCTGTTCTGATTAGTTCGGGCATAAAAACTTGCTAATTCATAACCATCAATTTTATAGCTTACCATTGATTGACCATTAGTCCATGTTTCGTTAAAGCAATAAAATAACAAGTTTTTGAACATAGACATTTCAATCGATAGTTCATCAATTTTGTCAAACGTTATCCCATTTAGATTTAACAGAAGTAATTTAGGATCAAAGACTACTGGGTCGATTCGACTGTTTTTCTCCGAAAGAAAAAACGTTGTACATAACAACCTTGGTGCCACAGTTCTGGGTTCATTGCTGATTTAAAGTTATTTTCATAAACCGAAATTAATTTTAAAGGAAGCGTAACGTTCCGGATATTTCGACTTTACGTTATTAACTAGAACTTCAGGAAAATGGGGTGTCAAATAGATTTTCATCGCTTCATCAGTTGTTGTGGGATCAAGCCTGGACACATATAGAGTTGCCATCTTAGGAACAGCTGAAGGCACATTACTACTTGTTTGACTATATGTTCCAATTACTGGTCTTTTTCTTTTATGTGTCACACTCTTCCAGCCGCTGTCGCTATCACCGTTCTGAATTGGTTGACTAGCAAGCATTGGACTGCTTAATACTCTTTGAGACTGGGCTTCATACGCTGGTGGTGAAACTTGCTGTGATGTTATAGTAGTTGGGCAGTGATTAGTCGCTGACCGCTGAGGGTTAACAGATCTCTGCTGCCTGAAGTGATCAACAGTGTTTAATTCGTCTGATGGTTTTCGAGTCGTCGTCTCGCTACTGCTGGCTGAGGAAAAATTCACTGGGACGGATGATGATTGTGGTGGGAGACTGTGCGTTGGTACGGATACTGTAACCGCTCTACCTACTGCAAGACTTCGCCCCCTTGTCTCTGCTGGAGGAGACAAACCGTCGGTAGAACCATTCTGGCATGACTGAGTGAATGACGTATTGTTATGATTCTGTATAACCTCACTATTATGCTGGGTTTGTAGAAGCGATATTATACGGTTCAAACTTTTGTTTGATTGTTGCAGTTCCCCAATAAGTCTGTTCTGCATTTTAACTTCACATCTAGCTACCCTTAGGTCACCATACTTATTTAAACAAGAAATTTTGCGGCATACCTCTTGTTCCGTCGATATGGAGTCGTGGAAAATTTCGTCATCTTGTTGCTCTTTCTCCAAAAATTTCACTACTTCATCACTCATTGTTGAAATCACATTTTCAGGTAACTTTTTATTAATTATATAATATATTAGATCTTTCTTTACGAGTTTTTGTAACTCGTTGACTAATTGTTGCTGCATCATGGATCTGTGGTACAAAATACCTCGTCGCGTTTCTGTAAACCTAACACACGTGTATCTGATCCGAAAATCGGAGACTTTGATTCATCACTTCAAAGAACATTTTTCCATTGACTTGTAGCCCAGTCTTTAACCATTCTAGTCTATTTTTCTTGTGTCTAATTGTTAATTTTGTTTTTTTTTGCATTAACACATCCTCTTAGACCCACAGACAGAAGTCATCGTTTAACAGTTGTTACTGAGGTGGGCTTACCTCGCGTGCTATTCACAGTTGCGGTAATTTGTGGTGCTGTTAAGCGTCGATTCCGTTTGGACAGAACTCTGATAATAATAATAATAAACCGTCTTTTATTTTCAAAGAAAATTCAGTATAATAAAAAAATATATATAATACCAGTGGCGAAGTCTAGCTGTCAGCTACTCTACTCAACCTCTGGAGGGGAGCACCCAAGCGAATAATATGTCAAAATCAATGTGAGGTAGACAGAAAAAGTATACATATGCTGAATAACATAGAGCAACACAGGCATTCGCAGTAAGACATACACTATGTTAAACAGATCTAGCCACACTTTTGAAATCAATATTGCTCTTATATACACATAGACTTCGAAGTTGAGTCATTTATTTTAACAGTGAGTAGATCTGATCAAAAGAAATGTTTTTTTCCTTTACCATTTTTCTGGTAAAATTAAAGTAACAAAGTTATAGCCCTTTGGAAGTTTGAGTACCGCCCTGTCTCAATAATAATATCATGTGCTCGTGTTTGGCAACAACGGATATAATCCGCCTTACCGGTTCATCGCATCGGAAACAAAAAAGCGAAAGAATTTTGGAACGATGTTTTTACAATAAATTATTTTATTCAGTTCAGTTATACATACAGTCAGTGTCAGTCGGTTAGCGTGTGAATAGTGTCTGTTGCGTGGCTCAAACGAAATAAAAAATGGCACATGTTTATGCGGATCGGTTTCCCAATCGAGTGCAACCAACCCCTCGTGCCTTTGTTAATGTAGTACAACGGGCTCGTGAATCAGGTGACTTAAGACCACACAGGGGACCTCACGATCAAATACAGGTCCGCACTGAAATACTTGTCGGGAGGATACTTTATAAAACAAGGTAAACATTTTTTTTTTATTTTTTTTTTATTTTTACATACATATTCTGGTTTATCTTCCTTCTACAATCATTATCTGAAAATTAATGACTCAACTTCAAAGTGATATACACTTATACACATATATAAGAATTAAACAATAATAAATAAATAAAAAATTGAAAATACAAGATTGCATCATTGATCCTACTGCATATCAAACAAATAACGTTTTAGTTTGAATTTTAACTTGTTCATATTAAGAAGCTTGAATTCTTCTGGCAGCTGATTATACATCCTGATAGCATTATATATGAACGATCTTTGAAACATGGCGGTCTTATGCTGCGGAACGGTGTAGTTCAATTTTGATCTTATATTTTGATGATGAGTATCTTTGCGAGGTATGAAATGTTTGATCAGGCCTAGAGGATTTGGGGTGTTGACCAGTTTATGTGTAAAATTACCCAAGTGAAGGTGTCTCCTATTTTTCATGTTAAGCCATTCACACTCTGTGATTTTGTGTGATATGGGGTCATACTTCCTAATTCTGTATATCAGCCTAAAGCATTTGATGGCAGGTATTCCGCCATTGCTGCTGTTTGATGAACGTAATTTTTCATATTTTAACCTTCCAAAATTATAAATTAAGCTGGCGTTGTTCAGATCCTGTGCCGTTAATTACTTCTATTTCTTCGCCTTATTTAATTTATCCCTGTTTTAGGAATAACTGAGTTATTTGCATCTGCCCCGCTGTACAAGAGTGCACCCAGTATTATTGGCTACTGGAAAATGATTTTCAAAAAAGAAGGAATACGGATGAATGGTCTTGACAATTTGGTAAGCATTTGTAGATTAGTCTACCCAAAAGTATGCACTAAATCTACGTAATGTTAGTGATAAACACTACCTTGTCAACATGGTATAACTATCCTTTGGTATTGGCTGGGCTTCTAACCTAATTCGTTGGATCGTGGGAACCAACGTACGGTATTCCACATAGTTTTACACAACATGTGTGTAAAATACGAGGGACCAACAAATTCAAACTAGGTAGGAGGACCAGTCTGTGACTTCTTTGCCTGTAAAATCTCATAGTCTGTAGCCAGGATGAAAGTTCATACTATAAGTCGATTAGACTTAAGTCGTCAGCAAAATTCGCATTTTTTTGCGAAAACAGTAAAGTTTTTCTGTATAGTTTTACAGCTGCAGACAAATATTGTCGAAAATGGTGAAGGCTTCTATGCTATGCAAAAAGCCGTTTAAACTGTATAATCCAGCTATAAGTGATAATGTATGATAATCCTCGGCGTTGGAATGGCATGTAACTCAACCTTGGGTTTCTACCTAACAGTTGCGAGGTAATTTTGATTTATCTCAGTCCACTCCTTGTTTCTTTGAGTGCTACTCAGTCCGAATCTAAGGTTTTCTAACAGAATTGTGTACCTACCAACAATAACCAAATTTTTTGATAGATATTGAAAAGATTCAACTAAAACTTTAGCTTTGGTCTTGTCTACTTTAATTTTGAATCTGACAGTTTTTAGGGAATAACTTTACTTTCACGTTATAAATTGTGATTTTAGGATCTCATTATATTACTACGAAATTTCACAGAAAACCCTCAGTATGCCTCAAAAAAACTATGAGTTTCAAATTAATGAAATTAGCTCCTTACCTTTCTATTGGATAAATATAGTGACAATGATATAATAGCAGTAATTTCCATATTATCCTCAACTAAGTACTCCCTCTTAGGCCGATTAGAATTCGCTAAGTGTGTCCCACTATTTCCAATATAAGGTATTCTGCCATTGCTGCTGTTTGATGCAGAATCTTTTTTGTATGTTTCATCTTTCAAAATTACGAATTAAGTAGAATTGCTCATGCGCTATACCGTTAATAAATATTTAATGTATACCTGTTTATTAACAATAACTGAACGATCACATCGTAACGCAGATATAATGCCCTGGTAAACATGGGTACTCCCAGCAGACTGGCTACTTGGTAGTAAATAGTAGACAAATGAGCCAAAAGTATGCACCAAAACTACACAATTTTGGCCAAACGTATAGGGTTGGCTACTTCTAACTTATTCAAATTCGATGGCAAGGACTCAAGGAAGTGCTGAGACTATCCTACTCCAACACAGTAGATGCTCTGAGATTTGGTGGGAAAGAAATATGAAGAGTAGTTGGATATTTGAATTGATATTGCTTATTCAGAGTCACCTGCTGAAAATTGCGTGATTGTATCGAACACCCTGTACTGGAAATACGGAACGGGGAAATTCATTTGCGATTACCATACGCTGAGTAAAAAAAGATAACGTTCCTCTCCAAAGGGTAACAAGATGCACTCAGAATTTTAAACAAGCCATATGGCTCAGCGGCAACTATAATGGAACATATAGAAATGTTAGAAAGTTTGTTAGGGATTTTGATAAAACTGGAATATTTTGCAAATTGTTATTCTAAAAATGTTTATCCAAAAACAGTCACATGTCATATGAGTAGTGTGTGTGTGTGTGTGTATGCGGTCGACGATGTGTACCACCTACTTGATCTTTATTATAGATCTGACGCGCCTGGATACTGAGTTTGAATATACAGGGTGGCCAAAACTCACTAGTATTAATATACATTCTGAATCAAACTATAGAAGATGAATTGCTGTGAAAACGTATTGAGTTGTACCCCTATTTAACAACAAAATGTTTTTAACCGATTGATGCATGGGGTATATCACACCCGAGCTACATACACTAAAATAGGATACAGAGTCCAAATTGGACGATAGCGTGATGAAAATGGCACTAAGCACCGACAGACAATATTAAAAAACGTGCATCTGATTACATAAGTCTGTTAAATGGGAGCAAAGTTCCATATTTAGGTAACTAGGAAAACGCCACGTAAAAGATTTTGCAATGACTGGGTCCAGTACTGCTTCCTCGAGATAGCATCTAACGACTGCACACATAACAAATGAAACTAAAAGGACGATTCTTACAGGATTTTTATCAGTGTCACTCAATCTGTTATCCTCTAGTTGCATTATATTTATAAACAGGGTCTTGTTAATTATGCTAAGTTGAAAAATATATATTCGTTATATGAATTAGTCATTAAAACACACAGTTTCCAAGTTTTCATCCACTTTTATTCTGTAAAATAACTTACAACATGAAATAAGTATGTAAGTGAATACAGGGCATTAAGAACATGGCGTCAAGTCTATTGATAGGTACCTCGTATATATTCCAATTCAATTTCGCGCCATCATTAAACCAACCAAAAGCAAGACAGAATATACCTTCTTGCTCGTTAAAGTTAGTCACACACTTTAGCGCTTTCAAAAAAAATTTAAAATACTTATAAAGATGACAAGTTCATCTGTACACAAATGTCGGTACTATTTTATAAAAAATGTATTGTGTATAAATGTATTATATAATATATAGTCTCGGTTGATCTATACCATTCTTAGAAGACTACTTCATATCATATGGGCAATCATGCTTAATGAATTGTGATCAATGTTCATGTAAGGGCGATTGGATAAAAAATGTTGGCTATAGACTCGAAAAGGGGCTGCGGGGATGGATCCACCTCTGTTCAGAGAGCTCGACAAACATCTCTTACGAAGAGTGCGTAGACGAGGACATAAGCCTCTTTTCCTATTCTTATTTTCTACTTATTTTGATGACATATCCATCGAGCTTAGAATCTCGTTGGTAAGCTTCCCAGTACATAGTTTTGTCTCATTCCATTAGTTGAGTTCTTGGGGTTTCGAACTCCTTCAACAGGCCCGAATGCTCCCCTTTCAGGTCCCTGCAGACAACTTCTAGGATCTTGGTCTCTCCCTTATGTCACTTGCATAACCTATGCCTTCAGCAGGCTCCGACCCTCGTAGCCGTATCGGTATCTCTCGACGACACTCTCGCTCTGTTCTATTAATTTCTTCTGTTAACTACCTTTAAATTTAAATCAAATTACTTCTCGCTGACAGTGCATCTTTGACAATTCTCTTTACAAGTATTTTAAAAAATAAGTTAGGCTGCGCCATCCAGGATGACGAGTATCAACTATAGATATTAGTGTTCAGATGTCACTCGAAGCAGTCCTTGCATATAACTTGCACCGTCTTGAATTACCCTGAGAACCTCGCCTTGAGCTGCTGATAACCGTAGACATGACTGCCGATCTAACTGGCATCATCTACCTCTAGCTTTAAAAATAACCTTGGAACATAATTGATGAGAAGCTTTTGCCAAATGTAAGGGAAATAAGTGGTATTCCCTACCAATTTATCACGAAACGTATAATCACGTTTTACCGGTATCAGTAATAAAAATCAAGTCCCATTGGCTGATCGATAATTACAATGACTTGAATTAGTGACCTACAACACACAAGAAAAAACAAGGATAAATTTCATCACCACCTAAAAACATATGAAGACAGTCTATTTCAGAAATCAAGAATGCCATACTTATTGCCTAGGTAGATAATTCCCCATTATTTCAAATGCAAAAAATTTATAAAGCATTTAGACCGGATAACATAAATTCCCTGATAATGGACCTCAGTATGAATTTAAGGAGTATAGAAAATTATTCAAGGAATTACTGCTTTAAACTTAACCCCTCTATTGCATTGGTTCTAGGTTGATAGTTTCGAAGGGTAAACAAGCAATTAATACAGATATAGTTTTAAATGGTACTACTATATGATTGAAATTGTGGATGAAATAAGAAATTTAGGTATAATATTAGACACAAATTTATGCTTTGAGAGTCATGTTCTAAGTAAACTTAGACTATGTTATTGTAAATACAAATCTCTCTGGAGATACAAGAATTTATTGCCAAGTGATACTAAAGCAAGACTTATCATCTCACTAATTCTAACACATCTAGATTATGGAATTACAGTTTACTATAAATTTCTGACCGAGGAATTAAAGCAGAACATCCAAATTGTTTAAAATTGTTGTATGAGGTTTTGTCACAGCGATAAGAGCACATTACTAGATATTATATCAGAGAAAATATTTTAAAGTTCCCATATCGCTCATTGGTTTTTGATACTACCTTGATTTATGAAATTCTAAAATATAAATCCCCTATGTATTCGTTTAGCGAATTAAAGAAACAGTCATCACTTCGACAAGTATTACTACGCAATGATCATTGTTACAACGTACCGGCCCATACAACATCTAAATTTAAGAAATGTCTTCTTTACACGGCACCATCCAGGCTCTTCAAAATAAATTGTTCCTGTTATGGTTTTTATATAATATAATGTTATGTATACTCAACATTGTTACCTTGTTACCAATACCTAAATAATAAGTTTCACATCTGTAGTTTAGTAGGCTGAGGGTATTATTTGTTTTGTATATATGTTATGTATATACTCCAATAAACATTATTGTTATTATTATTATTATACAAGATTACTCCAGTTTTCACTCATATATAAATGAATACACCATAACATATATGTAGAGGAACTGGGAAGTAAACAAACCTTCAACCACATACGGATCTTTTCCACTTTTCTTTTATTAGGTACGTTTTCTTGACCGAGAAGTCTGAACAAGCGATAAAAGAAGAGTGTCACTCTCACAATGGGCCGAATATATGAACGAAGGGGTGTTTTCCTTGAAATCGTTCCATAGGGCCCCAAAGATAAACAGCCTCTCTGATGCTATCACTGCGGAAAAATATCACATATTTGTCAGAATGTTTACTGTAGTAAGTGGCAATACTTTTTCTGGATGTAGAACATGTCAGAATGAGATTGAAATTACTATTTTATTTACGACGAACCAATTACTAAGAAAGGCATCTAAGTAAGCAAAATACCAAACAGCCTTTGTCTTCAACAATGGAATATTAGGAAAGAACTTTGGGAACATGAGAATTTTTGAGATTCTAGTTGATCATATTGTTCGGACGATATTGGGAATCTTCCCTTAATCGCATCAGTTTTAACTTTAACAAAATAGTTAAAAAGTTAAATGATTTGCCAGGTGGAAGAGGAAAAGAATGAAAATACTTGTATTTATAATCAACGTTTAGACAAGTCTTGCTTTTACTCGACTGCCCGCGTGTTAGTTCGTACTCGTATGTATATAAAAAATCCTACTTCACGAGCTACAAGCCAAATGGGTTGATGGATTTTGACATTTATAAGGTATTTTACTGGATTCATCGTAGCAGTGCTATATTCTGGGACCTCGGTTGGCCGCGTGGGTCAGAGTGTCGTGCTACTGATCAGCCGGCCGGCCGGGCCGCGAGTTCGAATCTCGCCTTCGCCATGGATGTTGTGTGTTTGTTTTAGGCAGCAGCGGTGGCCGCAGTAGTAGACTCTTCGGTCTCCTGATCAGCCGCCGTGCGCTGTGCGGGTTCGAGTCCCGTCCCAGGAGAAATGTTTCTCTTGGCCATGGATGTTGTGATTGTCCGTAGGTGGTAGATGGTCTCTGACTGTCGAACGCGGAGGTACCACCCGGCGGTTCTCGTAGGCGGAGCCAGAATGTGTGCATGTTGCATGCACACGTGTTCCCTCGCCAGAGTCCGTGTGGCGTCCCCCTTTTCCCATGTATCCCCCATAGCCCCACGGTACCCAATGGGTGCTTAGGCCTTAGGCCTTCGTGGTAGTTGGAGTATAAAAAAAAAAAAAAAAAAAAAAAAAAATTAAAATTTCACAGACAAAAAATAGCGGATTTCAATAAAAAAATTCGACCTTGAAGTTGTCAAGTAGTTCGTGCTTTCGAATAGAATCCTTTTTACCGCTCAAAAGGAGTGTGATATTTTTTGCGCGAGGGTGAGTGTGTATTCAAAAATCTATTTCACGGACTACAAGCCAGAGATGTGGTTGGATTTGTCGTAGCAACACGCGGCTATATAAAGATTTTATAGAAAGAAAATGGCGGATTTTAATAAAAAGTCAACTTTAAACTTCAAATTTCACAGCCTACAACTTAAACGGCTTGTTGTATTTTGACATATAAGATTTTGTTAAATTCATGATAGTAGTGCGACTGACAGTGGATATATTAAGATTTTATAAAAACAAAATGGCTAATTTTAACCGAAAATTTCAAGTTTAAAATTTCTCTTTCACTTGCTACAGAATAAAATACTTTTAATTTTGACTTACCATGCGTCTCTAGATTTGTCTTGCGAGCCCGAGTGACGCTGGGTATACAAAAGTTTCGTAAAATCAAAATGGCAGGTACTAAGTTTAACCTTTCAGTTTCTATGTCACGGGCTTCAGACCAAACGGTTTGATGAATTTTGACATTAAGGTGTCCTTGGAGCACAAATGAAAATTCATTCGTTTCAGTTGCTGCAGTCGTGCTAATTGTATTTTTTAAAAGTTTAAATGCTTATCTTTATCTTTCTTATCCACAGAATAGTACATCGGATGAAAAAAAGCTGTATAATATAAATAAAATGTATAAAAATATAAGTAAAAATCAATATAAATATAACAATTCATATAAATGTTCAATTCCATCTTTACGTACTCAAGGTTGTACGTTCCATATACTCACTTATACAGGGTGGCGCATCGAAAACGAATCAGATGCATTTACTGGCAGCTCAGTTTTTTTTTAAAACCGCTCAGAACCATCGATTTTGTTTTCGAGGGGATACAAGTTTGGCAAAAAATCACGTTAACACGTGCAGCCTCCTGGGCGGGGGTGACACCAACCCTAAAATCTTACATAAAACGGGGAGCCGAGTGATACCTTTTTTTAAAGGTCTTTCCGTTTCCTTTTTAATAATGTAGAATACATGAGCTTCAGTTCAGTAGTTTTGAAGATTTATTGATTTAAAGCTTAAAGTAGACTTTAATAGGTACATCAGATTAGTTTGTATTACTTTCAAAAGAAATTTGACTTAATAAGTAAAAGCTTTTCTTCACTACGCTCATGGTTTGTTTATCATTTTGTTGTTGAAAATAGCTATCTGAGCTTTTTTTGTGGCAAAAAATGTATTTCTTGAAGAAAGATAAGGAAATATCTCGTAGTTATTTTAAATAGGAATTTAGTACATAGTTTTTGATTGATTTGACCAAACTTTGTTGCTAAAATAACATGTAACGCTTTATTACATAAATTAACCATGGCATATTTCACAGCAGAATGAGTTTAAATTATCGAAATATTTTTCGGAAATAATCAGTGAGCTAATAGAACAGCAGAAATATTTAATGAGCGACATGAGAACAGTAACGTGCATCGAAAATATGTTCTAGAACTTGTAGCTAAATTTCGGGAAACTGGGTCAGTCGCCAATAAAAAACGCAACATTGAAAATCCCATAAGGAACGAAGCAATAGAAGTGGGGGTTTTAGGGCAAGTTTATGTAGATCCTACGTTAAGTACCCGCAAATTGGAGACTGTGTGTGGTGTTAGTCGACGTACTGTCCAACGGATTCTAAAGGCCCATAGTTTTCATCCGTATAAAATTCACCTGGTACAACAACTTAATGAAGACGATTTTGATCGGCGATTACAATTTTGTGAAGATATGAGTGAACGAATTATAAACGATGAACATTTTCTATTCAACACTTGCTTTTCTGATGAATGCTCGCTTTTCTTAAATGGCGTAGTAAATCGTCATAACTGCCGATATTGGTCCGATTCTAATCCCAGAATTTATCATGAGGTTCATCACAGCAGCCACAAAAATTAAATGTTTGGGCTGGTATTTTTGACGATCATTTAGTTGGTCCTTTTTCCTTACCTGGAAATTTGACCGGTCAAATGTATTTGGAATTACTGGAAGACGCCATAGATCCTGCATTAACAGCCATAATTGAAAATCAGAATGATCGGCGGTACATTGCGAATAGGTTGATGTTCCAACAGGATGGTGCCCCACCACATTACGCATTACGTGTTAGACAATATTTACATCAGACGTTTCCAGATCGATGGATTGGTAGAAGGGGTGCCATTGAATAGCCCCCAAGATCGCCAGATTTATCACCTTTGGATTTCTTTATGTGGGGTCATTTAAAAAGCTACTCAGCCAACATTATTAGAAGACCTGCGACAAAGAATTGTGAATGAGTGCCTCCAAATTACTCCTAAAATATTGCAAAATGTGCGGGAACGTTTTGAGCAAAATCTTTATTATTGCATGGAGAGTCATGGTGACCATTTTCAACATTTACTTGCCTAACGGGTCGGTTCATTCTTCATTTTTAAATTACTTTCCTGCCAAATGTATTGATCTCCACTAATGATAATGTATTAGTTTTATTTAAGCTTTAAATCAATAAATCTTCAAAACTACTGAACTGAAGTACATCAATTTTATATCATATAATGGGAATTGAAAAACCTTTAAAATAAGGTATCACTCGACCCCCCTTTCCATTTGAGATTTTGGGGGTGGTGTCACCCCCGTTTAGGAGGCTGCACGTGCTAACGTGATTTTTTGCCAAACTTGTGTCCCCCTCGAAAACAAAATCGACGGGTCTGAGCGTTTTTCAAAAAAAAAAACTGAGCTGCCAGTAAATGCGTCTGTTTCGTTTTCGATGCGCCACCATGGATAATAAAATGCATTTGACGCTCATAATTTTTTAAGTTGGTTTTTAGATCGTAAATAATTACCGATTTGCTGTGTTTCAGCTGGTAATTTATTGTATAATTTGATACAGTTATAGAAAGGTGATTTTTTTAAATGTGAATGTATGATGAATTTTGATTTCTAGTATTGTAATTATGCTGAGCATTGATATTTGGGAACAAGTTACTAAACTTATTACACATTTCAAAATGTAAATACAGTGTAATGTAAGAATTTCTCCTGATTTAAAAATTTCTCTGCAGGGGTCAAGTGGCTTCATTCCGAAAATTAATCTGATGATTCTGTTTCGGGCAACAAATTTTGCTTAAATTTTTCCATACGCCATGAAAATTTAGTTTACAATCGAAATATGTACCAAGTAATTTACAGTATATAATGTTTGCTTTAGTATGTTGCTCTCTATAGGTAGTGACGAAGGCCTTAGATAGATCAAAAAGCAAACATACTACATACGATGGTCACGCCATATATTTCGAGATACACCAAAACTAAAAACATTTCTCGAAGACTAGTTTATTTATGTTCAAAGTATTATCCTCCAGCACCAATGCACTTCTGAAGCTTGCCCTTCCACAAATGAAATGCTTCTAGCCAGTCAGTTTTTGGAATGCCTTCAACAAACTGATTAATTGCTTGATCGATTTCCTGTTCGGACGAAAATTTTTTTCTACATAGATTTTTTCAAATTGTTGACGAGCT